ATGTAGACCAGGCTGGCCTTGAACTCACAGAGATCCACTTGCCTCTGCCTCCCAAGTGCTGGGATTAAAGGCGTGCACCACCACGCCCAGCTATTATTTTCAATTTTATGTGTATGAGTGTATTGCCTGCATGTATGTAAGTACACCTGAATTATGCAATGCCCGAGGAAGTCAGAAGAGGAGGTTGGACTCCCTGGAACTAGAGTTATAGATGGTTGTTAGCTGCCATGTGGGTGTTGGGATTCAAACCTGGGCCCTCTGCATGAGCAGCCAGTACTCTTAACCTGCTGAGCCATCTTTCTAACCCCTTAAATTTTTTTTTTTTTTTTTTGGTCTTTTTGAGACAGAGCCTCCCTGTAGCCCCAGCTGTCCTGTATTCACTATGGAGACCTGGCTGGCCTTGAACTCACAGAGATCAGGCTGCCTCTGCCTCTCTAGTGCTGGGATTAAGGGCGTGTGCCGCCACACCTGGCTGACCCCTTAAATTTTTTAAAAATTTGTTTTATTTTATATGTGTGTTTTGCCTGCATGTAAGTGCACCACATATGTATAATACCCTTGGAGGCCAGAAGAGGGTGTCAGATCCCCTAGAACTGGAGTTATGGATGGTTGTTAACTATCATGTAGGTGGTAGGAATCAAACCCAGGCCCTCTGCAAGAACAGCCAGTGCTCTTAGCTGCTGAGCCATTACTCCAGCACCTCCCCATGCATAAAAAATTTTTTTGTTGACACCAGGTCTCCCTATGCAGCTAGCTTTGGCTATCCTGGATCTTGCTATATAGCCCAAGCTGGCCTTTAACTCAAAGTCCTTCTCCCATAGCCTCCCAAATGCAGGGATTACAGGCATGAGCCATTATAACTGGCTTTCTTCTATTTATTTAATTAAACTAATTACTTTTTGGTTTTTAGAGACAAGGTCTCACTCTGTAGCTCAGGCTGGCCTAGAACTCATGACAATCCTCCTGCTTCAGTTTTCTGGGTATTGGAGTCACAGGTATGAGCTATCATGCCCAGCTTATTGTGCCTGATTTATGAAGTTGTAAGTAGGTATGGACAGGAAAAAGCATATTGTACATAGGGTTTGAGATTATCTGAGGGTTCAGATATCCACTGGGTATCTTGGAACATATTCCCAATGGATAAGAGGAGGCTATTATATATTGCTAATTCTATTAGTGATTCATATTAATGTACAATACACATCAACAGGTGGAACAGAACTCAGACCTTTGTTTTTCAGGTTCCTACGGGAAATATACTACTAATAAAAACTTGTTCTGATATTAAACAATTGTAGTTGATAGACTTTTTAATTTTAATTTTTGACATTTTGGTTGTTAGCCTTACTCTTTAATGGCTGTGCCATCTCTCCAGCCCTTATTTTTATTTTTGTTGCTGGTTATTGAACCCAGTGCCTCACACATGCTAAGCAAGAGCTCTTCCACTCAGCTTTACTCATAATGTCAAGCACCCAGAGGTGCTGATCCTGTTATTTGCTTAGTTTTTTTTTGTTGTTGTTTTCCTTATGGAGATAAACATGTACTGGGTTGGCCTGAGAAATCTTCCTTTCTTTCACATAGATTTTATTGGCTTCAATGCACTATCTGAACCTCAGATATATTTTTGTTGTTATCCTTTTTTTTTATTTTTTGGTCTTTTTGAGACAGGGTCTCCCTGTAGCCTGAGCTGTCCTGGATCGCACTATGTAGATCAGGTGGCCTTGAACTCATAGAGATCCACCTGCCTCTGACTCCCAAGTGCTGGGATTAAAGGTATGTACCACCATGCCTGGCCCTGTTACTCTTTTTTTTTTTTTTTAAGGTTTTTCTTGTTTTTTATTTTTTTATGTGTATGAATGTTTTGTCTGCATGTATGTGTGTAAGTGCCCTGATATACCCATGGAAGCCAGGCTTCAGGTCTGAAACTGGAGTTACAGGTGGTTGTTAGCTGCCATAAGGGTGCTGGGAACTGAACCCAGGTCATCCGGAAGAGCAGCCAGTGCTCTGAACTGCTGAGCCATCTCTCCAGCTCCTCTCTTATTATCCTTGTTTAGATTGGTCTTCTTGTTCAATAGAATTTGCTATAATTATGAATATAACTTATTATAGCTGCTCTTGCTGTGATAGATTTTATATTGATGTAAGGCTTACTTATATAATTTGCATAACTGATGCAGTTTAACTATTATGTAGAAATTAGTATTTGTGGTCAGGCATGATGGTGCACAATAATAACACTTTGGAGATGGAGGTGGGAGGATCAGGGCTTCAAGGTCATCCTTGGCTACATAGCATGTTTGAGGTAAGCCTGCTTTATAGGAGACCCTCTCTTAAAAAGAAAACAAAGCAAAACCAAATACTTATGAAATTATTTATTTATGATGGTACAGTAATCTCTATCAGTATGTATTAGTCACTTTTCTGTTGCTGTAATAGAAACACTGACCAAAGCAATTTGTAGAAGGAAGAGTTTATTTAAGCTTACGATTCCAGGGGAATTACAGTCCATCATGGCAGGGAGGCATGGTGGCTGGAAGTGGCTGGAGCAGGAGCAGCAGAAGCTAAGCTCTCACATCATCATGCAGGCACAGGAAGCAAGAGAGGGACTAGAGATCTGGCAAGGCTTAAGAACTCCCTAAGCCCATCCCCAATGACATGCTTCCTCCAGGATAGCCACACCTTCTAAAGCCTCCCAAAACAGCGCCATCATCTGGGGACAAAATGTCCAAATACTTGAAGCCTATGGGGGACATTTTCATTCAAACCACCACACAGTGTTTGTTATGGAAACGTGAATTTATATAGGTTTATTGAGATATAGCCTCATGTTGTACTTCAGATTAGCCTCAAATTTTCCATGTATTGTCAAGGTTGGACTTGAACATGTCATTTTCCTGCTGTAGCTTCCCCAGTGTTGAGATTATAATTATGAAAAAAGATAAAAACAGGAGCCAGGGAGATGGCCCAGTGGGTAAAGTGCTTGTCATACATGCCTGATGACCTGAGATTGAGCCTCAGAACTCACATAAAAGTGGCAGGAAAAACCTGACTCCCAAAAGTTGTCCTCTGACCTCCACACATAAACTTCCAAATGAGCACACCTATGTACATTGTCTCGTATGTGAGTGTGCACACAATAAACATTTAAACATTTTTTTACTTATTTTTATTTTTATGTATATGAACGTATTGCCTGCATGTTTGTAAGTGCACCCACCTGTGTTGTGCAGTGCTCAATGAGGTCAGAAGGTGGTGTTGGATCCCCTGGAACTGGAGTTACAGATAGTTGTAACAGACAGCTGCCATGTGGGTTCTGGGAATCAGACCCAGGTCCTAACCTCTAAGCCATCTCTCCAATCCCCATAAATAAAAATTTTTGAAAAGAGAACAAAAATGAAAACAATACATCTGTTGGCCACCATGCCTGTTTCAAATTTCAGGGAGTTTTTATGACTTTAATAATATTTCTGTTCTAAACTCTTTCCATAAATAGGAGTATTTTCTGCATTGCGTGCTGTTCCCCAAAAGGAAGGATACCTTGGCTTGTACAAAGGAAATGGCGCAATGATGATTCGAATCTTTCCCTACGGTGCAATCCAGTTCATGGCGTTTGAGCATTACAAAACGGTAATTGAATTTTCTCTCTTTGGATATTATGTTTACTACCAGTCATTTGTTGTGAATTTTTAAAGTATTTATTTATTTGTGTGTGTATGTGTGCGGGCGTGTGCATGTGTGTGTGTGCACGCACATGCACAAGCACATTCCGTGGTGCACATGTGGAAGTCAGAGGACAACTTATGGGAGTCGGTTCTCTCCTCCATCGTGGTTGTCCTGGGATTGAACATAGGTTGTCAGACTTGGTCAGGTGCCTTTACCTGCTGAGGCATCTCACCTGCCCTTACATTTTTGTTATTTTGAGGCATTGTCTCCTTGTGAAACATAGGCCAAACTTGAACTGGTGATCTTTGTGCCTCAGCCTCTCCAGTGCTAGGATTATCAGTGCTCCAGCGTGCTTTGAATTGGATTTTTTTTTTTTTTTCAGTGTTAGGACTTGAACCTAGGACCTTGTGCTGGTGGTTTGAACTTTAAAGTTACTTTGGATGAACTGGTGTGCTGCTACCCCTGAGTATTAGAGATCAAACTTTGGTTCTCATACTTGTGTGGCAAACACTTTTCCAACTGAGCCATCTCCTCAACTGCTGTTTGTTTTGAGACAGTCTGGAATTTACCATGTAAGGCTAGCCTCAAACTTAACTATGGAACCAAAGCTGGCTTCAAATGCTTGATCTTTCTGCATTTACCTCTTGAGTGCTTGGATTGTAGGCATATAACACCATGCAAAATCTAAAGCCCTAGCTGGCCTGGAACTCACTATGTAGCCTCTGCCTCCCAAGTGCTGGGATTAAAGGCATGTGCCACCACACCCGGTTTAAAGTGTCTTTCTAAAGGATAAAAATTGGGCTGGTGAGATAGTTCAGGGGTAATGGTGCCTGCTACCAAGACTGACAACTTGAATTCAGTCCCCAGGACCCACAAGGTAGAGATAGCTGACTCCCACAGTTGTCCCCTGACCTCTGTGTATGTGCCATGGCATATGCATGCCTACACATAATAAAATAAATGTAAAAGAATTTTTAAAAAGATAAAATACTAATAATTTTTAATGTGCTTTAAAATTAAAAATTTTCATTTATGTGTATATGTGTGTGTCTGTGTAAGTGTGTGACACATGTGTACAAGTGCCTGTGGAGGCAAGAAGAGGGCGTTGGATTCCCTGGAGTTGGTGTTACAGGAGGTTAAGAGCACCTGATGTGAATGCTGGGAGCTGATCTTGGGTCCTCTGGAAGAGCAGCAAGGGCTTTTAACAGCGGAACCATCTCTCTAGTTTCTTTAATATGCTAGTTGCAGGAGAGGAACGCTGTGGCTTTGGATTTTCTTTTGCTATATATATGTACAAACATATGCATGCATAGTTTCATATTTTGCTGTTCTGGGAATCAAACCCCGAGCCTTGAGCATCCTAGGCAAACATATCAATAAACTATATCCCCAGCCCTGGACGTTCTTATTAAATAAGTGAAACTATGTTATGAAAGTCAATTATTTTAGAGATTTTAGAGTAATGCTGAGTTAACAGCTTTTCCTGTCATATCTGTTAAATTTCTTTTATCCTTTCTAACTTTATCTTTTTTTTTGAGACAGGGCCTCTCTGTAGCCCCAGCTGGCCTGGAACCCACTAGGTAGACCAGGCTGGCCTTGAACTCACAGAGATCCACCTGCCTCTGCCTCCCCAGTGCTGGGATTAAAGGTGTACACAAGGAAGCATGTCTTCTAATTTTATCTTAACACATAAAAGAGTATCTCATTGGGCCTGGCATGGAGGTGCATGCCTTTATTCCCAGCACTCGGGAGGCAGAGGCAGATGGATCTCTGTGAGTTCAAGGTTAGCCTTATCTACATAGTGAGTTGAGGCGAGCTGGGGCTACAGGGAAACCCTGTCTCAAAAAGAACAAAAAAAAAGTATCTCATTTAATTTGGTGTTTCTGGTTTCTAGTTCATTACCACAAAGTTGGGAGTTTCCGGTCATGTACACAGATTAATGGCTGGATCCATGGCAGGTAAGGGAGTAGGTACATCTTTATTTTTGAGAAATTGATTTTCTATTAAAATACTTAATTTTATTTAGATTTGAGAGTAGTGCTGTTGTTATCCAGTATTCTGTTAGTCTCTTTAACTGATTGCAGTTTACATTTTGTTCTGATTTAAGTATAAATCAAATGTTCTGGTTAATTTATAGCTAGTATCTTTGATTATATACCTTTAATCACCTTCAGATGTAACATTGGAAATTTTATCAAAGTAGAAAGCAGATTTTTAAATGATCATATTACTATGTCTTATTTTGTTAGCCTTAGCCTTTAATGGCTACACTATCCCTCCAGCCCAGAAAAGAGGTGGCTCAGCAGGGGAAGGCACTTGCCACTAAGCCTGATTGCCTGAGTTTGATCCCTGGGACACACATGGTGGAAAGAGAGAACTGATTCCCACAAGTTGTTCTCTGACCTACATAGGTGCACCATGACATGAATGTACCCTCTCTACATGCATTCACATGCAAGTTATCTAAGTAAAAATGAAATTAAATTTAAGGGGATGGAATTGAGTCCTGGCTACTCTTGCAGAAAATCTGAGTTCAGTTCCCAACGTCCACATCAGGTGATTAACAACAGTCCATAACTCGAGTTCTAGGGGATTTGACCCCTTCATCTGGCCTCTTCAGGCATTGCATACATGGGTGCACTTACATGCATGCAGGCAAAAACACTTATACACCTAAGACAAAATAAATAAAATCTTTTAAAAATATTTAGACTGGGCATGGTGTTCCACACAGTTAATCCCAGCAGTAGGGAGGCAAACGCAAGTGGATCCTATGAGATAGAGGCCAGCCTGGTCTACATGGTGAGTTCTGGGTTAATTGGGGCTACAGGGAGACCCTGTCTCAAAAAAAAAAAAAAAAAGTTTTTTAAACCTTGTGTGGTAGTATACACCTTTGATCCTAGCACTCAGGAGACAGAGGCAGGTGGATCTCTATGTGAGCTGAAGGCCAGCCAGGGAATACATAGTGAGATTCTGTCTCAAAATCCCAAATAAATAAGTAAATAAATAGATAGATAGATAATAAATTAATTAATTAATTAATTAATTTTTTGGTCTTCTTGAGCCTCAGGTCCAGGGGCTTGTTTTTCGCCCTTGTGGAGTTCCTGATGGTAAGAACATAGGCCATGGATTTGTAGATAACCGGGACCTTGGAGAGCTTGGACTACCTGCCACTTTAGGGTCCTGCAACAATGATAGCTCCACCTTCAGGTCCTCTTGCTCTTTCAGCAGCACCTCCTTTTGCTCTGGAAGGTCCCAGGCCCTCTCTTGGTCTTCGTGGCTGTGCTAGCTGCTGCCACCACCTGATCCAAGGGAAAGAGGCGTTTCCGTTTGTAGATAAAGACATTATTTCATATAAAATTAATAAGTTGCTAATTAGGACAAAGCAAATTTAAAAAAAAATTTTTTTAAATTTTTTATTTTTTATCTTTTAGAGACAGGGTCTCCCTGTAGCCCCAGCTGGCCTGGAACTCACAGAGATCCGCCTGCCTCTGCCTCCCAAGTGCTGGGATTAAAGTTGTGCACCACCACGCCTGGCCTCATATATTCTTTTTAAAATATTTTCTTTCTTTATTTTATTTATATTTTATTTTATGTATATGAGTGTATTGCCTGCATGTAAGTAAGTGCACCCGTGTCATGCAGTACCCATGGAGGACAGAAAAGGGTGTGGGATCCCCTAGAACTGGAGTTATGGATGGTTGTTAGCCACCATCTGGGTGCTCTGCAAGAGCAGCCAGTGTTCTTTTGTGTTTTGTAAATGTTGTTACTTTATTTTTTTTTCATTTTATTTATTATTTTTATTTTATGTGTATGTGTGTATTGCCTGCATGTAGGTAATTGCACCTATGTCGTGCAGTGCCCGCAGAGGTCAGGAGAGGCTGTTGGATCCCCTGGGACTGGAGTTACAGACAGTTGTTACCTGTCATGTGGGTGGTGGGGATTCGAACCCGGCTCTTCTGCAAGAACAACCAGTGTTCTTAACCACTGAGCCATCTCTCCAACCCCCCAACCAGTGTTCTTAACAGCCAAGCCATGGCTCCAGCAAATATTCTGGTTTTGTTTGTGGGTTTGTTTTATTTATCATTTCATAATGTAGGCTAGCTTGGAAGTCCCTATATAACCCAGGCTGGCCTTGGTGATCCTCCTGTCTCAACCTCCTAAATGTCAGCAATGACATAATTTTTTTGAGAGGGTGGTCTTTGGAGGCAAAGACTCACTATGTAGCCCAGGCTAAGCCTGAACTCAGTAATCCTGCCTCAGTCTCCCAAGTGCTAGAATTGCAGTCATGTGCCACACACCCAGTTCTATATGCTGGAGTCCAGTATTTCAACTTACACTCCAAATTCCTTCTATAAATAGGATCATTCCTGACTCATTTGAATATTTGTCTACACACATGTGGGAAACATCTGTATTTTTCTTTTCTGTCTTGTGTGAATTCTGTTTTTTTTTTTAATTCTTCCTTTTCTATTGATGATACTGCATTTTGCATTCTTCTTGGGAAGCTAGGTCATTATGTTAGGCAGTTAGACATTCTTTCAATGCAGGCTTTCCTTTCTGGCATTTTACTACTGTAGTGTTCCAGAGTCCTTGCAGCATGTGGTGCTATCTTGCTCTTCTTCAGAACATCTCTCTCTGGCCTTTCCCCCTATTATTTTAGGGATCAGAATGTCTTTTTCACCATGTAGAGAAGCTGCTCCAGGCTGTCGAGCACCTTCTTGGCTGGCAGAAAGGGCAAATGACAGCAAGGAAAGCTGGTGAGAGGAGAGGCAGCTGCAGCCAAGTGATCGGAGCTACAGCCAGTGTTTACTAGAATGTGCTGTGCACTCTGCGTTAGAGACTCAGAAAGGATTGGAAGCACTGTTCCCAAATACTTTTGTTGTTTTTAGGTTTGGGGATGTAGTTCAGTGGCATATTGCTTGTTTTGCATGCATGAGACCCAAGATTGAATCCCTACTACTATTGGAAAAATGAAAAGGAAGGCAAATACTTTATTTTGTTGTTGGTTTGATTTTTGGAGACCAGGTTTCATGACTGGCCTCACTATATACAGCTGATGATGATCTTGAATTCTCCATCTTCCAACCTCTGTCTTTTGAGTGCTGGGATTATAGGCAAGCCTGGCTCTCCTAAATACTCTCTATTTTTGTTTGTTTTGTTTTAAGACAGGGTCTCATTCTGTAGAAGACTGTCTTGGAACTCACTTTGTAGGATGGATTCAAACTCTCTGATATATTTCTTCCCAGCCTCCTAAGTGCTGGTATTATGGGTATGAAACATCATACTTTATTTTATTTTATTGGTCTTTTAGAGACAGGGTCTCCCTGTAGCCCCAGCTGGCTTGGAACTCACTATGTAGACCAGGCTAGCCTTGAACTCACAGAGCTCTGCCTGCCTCTGCCTCCCAAGTCCTGGGATTAAAGGCATGCGCCACCACTCCTGGCCCTTCAAATACTTTATATTTTAAAAGGAATTGTATCCCCCCTGAGCCCAGGCTAGAATTCAGAAGTAACAAACTTCTATATTTGAATGAATTACTTTTCTGAGTTGGTGGTCCAACCCTGTTTTGTGTTTTGAGACAGGGTCTCATATATCCTATGGTTGGCCTTCAGTTTGCTCTGTAGCTGAGGATAACATTTAATGCCTAATCCTTCTGCATCTGTTTCCTAAGAGTTAGGATTACGGTTGTATGCCATCCCACCTGGCTCCTAGGTTTTGTCTCTATTTAAGTTTTGACTCTATTTAAGTGCCACATGTGCGTGCAGTTCCTCAGGAGGCCAGAAGAGGGTGTTGGGTCCCCTGGAACTTGAGTTAAAGACCATTGTTAGCTCCCATGTGGGCGCTAGGAATGAAGCTATTGTCCTCTGTAAGAGCAGCCAGTGCTCTTAACCACTGAGCCATCTCTCCAGCTGAAGTTCTCAGTTTCATGACTGAAGAAGAAAATAGTTTGCCCAGTCACAAGTTGAAAGTACAGTTTGACTTGGTTGAGCCTCTATTTCCTGGTAGGTAAAGATAGTCTGCTGTTGTATTAGACTGTAAAATGAGGGAAGAGAAAAGTTGTCACCAGCAGAATTTTAAAAGTTTGTGGTTTCCAGAGCTGGGCATGGTGGTGCAGGCCTTTAATCTCAGCAACTGGGAGGCAGAGGCAGGTGGATCTCTGTGAGATCAAGGCCAGCCTGTTCTGTGTAGTGAGTTCCAGGCCAGCTATGACTACAGGGAGACTCTGTCTCAAAAAGATAAAAAAAAAAAAAAGAAGTTTGTAGTTTCCCCTATTTTATCATGGTGGACTTTTTTGGCCTTGTTATAAAGTAGTGCTCAGAGGCACAGTAACTAGTAGGAGTGGAGAAAAGGGGCCCAAGGGGGAGGTAGTACCTTCATGAGTTAAATTAAGTCAGCCTCTGAGTGACTGGTATGTTTGCCAGTCTGAGTACTTGTCCAAAGCTGAGCCACCACTTTGTGTGACACTCTCCAATAACCTCCTTGATTGTGTTTCCTTTTTTACTGTTTGAATTCCTTTTTTTTTGTTTTTTTTAGCCCAGGCTAGTCTGGAACTCCTTATGCAGACCAGGCTGGGATTAAAGGCATGGGCCACTACACCCGGCCAACATTTGAATTCTATAGTATTGATGAGCAGGAAAGGGAGAGATGAGAATGGAGAATTCTGGGGTGATTTGGTTTTCAAGGACAAGGATCAAAAAACGAATCCTCAGCCAGTGAGATGTCTCAGTAGGTAAAGACACTTGCTGCTAAGCCTGAAGACTTGCATTTGATTCCTGGGACCATATGGTGGAAGGAGAGAACTTATTCCTGCTTGTTTTCCTCCAACCTCCACACATAGGCCAAATTAGCTAAAATTAGAAATGTTGTTTCTGTTGTTGTTGTTGCTGTTATTTTGTTTTATTTTTTTTTGAGATAAGGTCTCCCTGTAGCCCCAGCTGGCCTGGAACTCTCTATGTAGACCAGGCTGGTCTCGATCTTATGGAGATCTGCCTGCCTCTGTCTCCCGAGTGCTGGGACTAAAGGTGTGCACCACTATACCTGGCTTGAGACCGTTTATTTAGTCAATATCAAATTCGCCTAAAGTCTAAAAGGAAGGTATCTTACTGAACTGGATATAAATAAGTGGTAGGATACATTTATTTCTATAGAACCTCATAATCCTCTTTTCCTCTGGAATGACACTGAAGATCTTGGTGTCATTATCGGCCACTACCCCATGCAGTATTACAGGTACAAGAACAATGTCTGCCCAAAGTCCCTTCTTCAAAGGTGGTCCTGATGCTAAGATCTCCATCTTTGACCTGGGGTGGAAGGTTACTTTGTGACCACTTGGTGTCAGATGAATTGGTGTCAGATGAATCTGCTTCTGCAGCTCTGGAAGCCACCTATATTGTGCCAATTACCTGGCAAAGATGGTGTCCATGTTCAAGTGCGGCCCCACCTTTTCTGCACCATCTGCTTCACAAGATGCTATCCTGTGCTGGGGCTGACAGGTTCATGGGGAATCTTTGGAAAGCCCAAGGCAGTGGCACAGGTAATCCCATTGGCCAGGTAATCATGGCCATTGCACCATGCTGCAGAATAAGGAACATGTGATCGAGGCCCTGCATGGGGCCAAGTTCAGGTTCCCTGGACACCACATCTGAAGGATGTGAGGCTTTAATGCAGGTGAATTTTGAAGACCTGGCATTGGAGAAGCAGCTCATCCCAAATGGATATGGGTCCGACATCTCCCCAGTTGTGGCCCCCTGGACAAATAGGGCCTGCACTTGTGAGGACTTCCATTTTATTCAGCAGTCATGTTCACTAATAATCTTTTATCCAATAAAAAACATACACCCTCACTATCTGTTTACACTGTACCGTTTTGGTGCCAGCAGTATGATTTCACAATGAGAAGAGCCTGAGGAGATTTTTAAGCTGACACTCACCACATTGCTTTCCAATTGCTGCTGCTGCATAATGTGATCATTTATTCCCTAATGTCACCTTTGCTCATTGGGCTTCATCATTTCTTTTTTAAATTTATTTATTTTTGGTCTTTTTATTTTGAGACAGGGTCTCCCTGTAGCCCCAGCTGGCCTGGAACTCACCTTGTAGACCAGGCTGGCCTGGAACTCAAGAGATCTGCCTGCCTCTCCTCCCAAGTCCTGGGGTCAAAGGCGTGTGCCACCATGCCCAGCTGGGCTTTATCACTTCTTCAGTCCTGAGAATGCTACTGACAGGGAGGATATATATGTGTGTGTGTGTGTGTGTGTGTGTGTGTGTGTGTGTGTAGTGCATGTGTGCACGTTTTCTCTACATTTACGTTTCTACTTTCTTTTTAGGTATGACAGCAGTTATCTGTACTTACCCTCTTGATATGGTTAGGGTCCGCCTAGCCTTCCAGGTGAAAGGGGAACACACTTACTCAGGAATTATTCATGCATTCAAAACAATTTATGCAAAGGTATTTCACCCTACTTTTCTAATTTATGATATGCCTTTTTATATTTAGGAAAGTATTTTGAATAATATCTATCTCTTCCTTTATTTGAAATGAATGATACTGGGTTGGGGATATAGATCAGTGGTATAGTGCTTGCCCAGCATATATAAGGCTGGGCTTTGATCTCTAGCACCACAGGAAAAAGGAGGGGTGAAGTTGAGAGGGAAAGGGAGGGAGGGAGGGAAGAAGAGGCAGTTATTAATAATAATTCTGAAAAGCCCATCTGGTGTTTCAGATTGACCCTAGGAGAGTTCTCACTGTGCTGTGTGCTTTATTCTAGATGCCTACCATAGTGAGGGTATTATAATCTTATTTCTGATTTTCCTTCATTCAAAGGAAGGAGGTTTCCTTGGATTCTATAGAGGTCTGATTCCTACTATTTTAGGAATGGCTCCATATGCAGGTATGACAGATTGGACACAATCTTGCTTTGTGTTTATGTTTCCAGGTTTAAGTGGTAATAGGAAAAGATGCTACTGAAAATGGCTTCTACTGAATAAATGATGAAGATAAAATTATCATTCATATATATCAATAGTCCTAATAAACATTGAGTAGAGTAATTGGAAATTAAATGATTTTCAGAGTAAACAAAAATATATAGCTATTAACATATGATGCTTAGAAAAACATCCTGATCCTCATGCTTTTAACTCCCAAGTGCTGTGTTGATGGGGCAGGTTCCACTAAGCCTCGCTTTATAAGATTTTTTAAAAAATTTTATTGCGTTTATGTATTTATTGTGTGTATTTGTATGTGTATGCTAACACATATATCAGGATGCACAAATGGAGGTCAGAGGACAACTTCTAGGAGTTGGTTCTCTCCCTCTACCTTGTGAGATCTGGGGATTAAATTCAGGTCATCAGACTTGGCAGCAAATGCCTTTTCCTGCTGAGTCTTCTTGCCATCCCATGTCTTTATTTATTTATTATTTATTTATTTATTTTATTTTTGTTTGGTTGTTGACATATAATCTGTCAACGTGGTCATTATGAGTTTTGGAATTATGCATTTTCCCTTTAGCTGTTTTTTAGATTTCCTGTTTTTTGTTTTTTTTTTCGTTTCTGAGGTTTCAGTATTGTCATCCGATTGAAATAATTTTT